AGATGCATCTTTTTTTTCCTTCTTGCAATTTTCTTATAAAAACTCGAGCAGCCACATTAAAAGAAGCATTAATAAAAGAAGCTGGTTACCCTGTTTCTGTCTCTGCTGGAGTCAGTCGGTCATCAGGAGCTGATTCCTTCGGTTTCCTCCTTGAAGAAGCTGCAAAACACAGATTAAAACTTCACTCAAATCTTTCAAGACAACTTTCACTCAGACCTCACAAAAGTCATCCTAATTAGTCATTATGCAAAATGACATTAATTAGGGATAAAACCTCAGCCAGTGGGATCCTCACGCCGTCATGTGGATGCCTTCCTCTCCTCCACGCAGCCGGTAATGAAGCGACGATGCCCACACACTGTAGCTCCCCTCATCATCCTCATCATCATCATCACTCCCGCTTTACTACGGAGCTCTCTGCGCTGTTTCCGTGCGCCTCCGGCTGAGCTGGGCGCCTGGGAGGTCTGCGTGGGAGGAGGAGAGGTTAAGGAGTCTTCAGGAGAGAAAAATAACAATAAAGATGAAACCACCTGCTGCCTGCACGAAGCCAGCAGAGAAACCAGCATCCCACCAAACAGCCTCTGAATGGGATTTATTATCAGAATAAAGTCAGAATAAACAGCCGCTCTGTGTTTAATCCTCTACTTGGTAAAACTATAAAGATTGAAGCTGATGTGAATGATGAACAGCTGGATTTTTATTCCTGCAGGATGCCCCTGTACAACCACACAGCACTTATTGCTATGACAACATGCATCTGCTGGTTGCTGAACTCTGGGGAACTCGTGCGTTTGTAACCCCGTTGGCATCCAGCTGCCCGGCGTTTCACTATCACACCCACACAGCACACTCGCCAAAGTTACATTGATATGCAAGAACACGAAATGGACAAAAAAAAGGAAGAAATCTGCACCACATTTATGCTTTTTGTTTTAAACAATCGTATTTAAACTGCTCTAAGAAGAAATTATTCTGCACAAAAAAGACGGAAAAATTGTGCAAATAGCTAAATTAGGCTTTAATGTAAAATAACAGAAATTTTTTTTAATTCTAAACCTTATAGTTGACACACATCCATATGTAAATTTATCTACACATGTGAAAGGTGGACACAGTCTTTATTACATCTTTATTTTTATCCTTATTGTACTTTGGTAGTTCTTGTCTTAACAGCGTCTCATTTATATCCAGCTGCTGAATTTCCATCTTTACCTTTAATATTATCACAGATACTCAACAGCAGTGTCCATGTGTTCGGGCACAAACACAGTGTGCACCACTAGAAACTGAAACTGAATCCCGTCATTTGAATTACGAGAACGGAATTCAGTTTCAACCCAGTAAATTCATTCAAATCCAGTTCCTGGTGGTGCATAGTTCTGTCTTTACTCGTGTCTCTTCTTTACTTCTTTAGAGCAACAGTGTGTTTGTTCTTGTTTCAATATTTGATCTAATAATCACTGACACAAGGTCCATTTAATCGTTGTTCAGAACCTTTTGATCGTACAACATGATCATCTCTGACAGATGAAGTTTGTATAGTCTTCATGCTGCCAGTAGATCGGTCTCATCGAGCACTTCAAGGACTTCTTTTCTATTGTAGCCTAATAAACAACGATGGACTGGTGTGATGCCTAAGAAGGACTCATACCTCCTTTACAGAAACTCACGTCCAAGTAGATTAGTTCTTGCCGTTCTTCAGTCCGTCTCGTCAGACATGTGGCCTCAAAGATGCTTCCGTCGCTGACTACGACTGATGAGAGTCTCTAAGGATGTGCTGCTAGAAAACATATGATTGAGTGGAAACCAAACCTGGGACTGAACGTCTACAACCAAGGAACCAAGGACACTTAGCAACCACAACACTAAAAAACTACTGACAGGTAAAGTTCTGCTGGGAAACCTTGGCTCTTGGCATTCATGCAGATGTTACCACGACTTGGACCATCCACCCAAACGTCATCGCGGACTAGATACGCTCCTCGTGGTACTCCCAGATGGTAGCTTCTTCCTGCAACAGTATCTCTGGCCACATCTGAGAAACTTAAAGAACAGACATATAGACATTGGCTCAGCCTTCAAACTCCCAAAAGCCCAATCTAACGCATCAGAACAAACCCGATCCATGGAGGCCCGACACTGCAACCCATTGCCAAAGTCCTACTGGACACTTCCATACGTCCAATGTCCACGTCTCAACAACCCCCGTTGAGTGTCAGACTGCGATAGTGGTTCTCATTTTTAAAGAAAGGACCAGACGACATGCTCCAGTTATTATCAGGGTATAACACTGCTCAGCCTACCAGGGAAGGTTTACTCCAGAACAAAGATTCCGACTGAAACTCGGATTCAGGAGGACCAACATGGTGTGATGACCCCTCTGTGCCACTAGGTGCTTGCTTGCTTGCTGTCCTGTCTTTGTCGCTTTCAGGTCTGTGCTGGATGTGGATTGAGGTGAACTGATGCCACAAAGAGGAGAGTTTAAGTATCTCGGGATCTCGTTCACGGGAAAATGGAGCGTGAGAGCTTGGTGCAGTGTCATCGGTAACGGTGTTTTACTAAAACATTGTGAAGATTTACAAGTGGATCCACATGACAGCCTTCACCTCTGTTAATGAGCTCTGGGTTGGAACCAAAAGATCCAGATTATGGTTACAAGCCGCCAAAATGGGGTTTTCCTCCATTGGGTGTCTGGGCTCTGGGATATGAATTTGGACATTCGGAGGGAGCTCAGAGTAAAGTCACTGCTCATTTGCATTGGAGGGAGATAGGATGCCTCCAGGGCAACTTCTGTTGGACCTCTTTCAGGCATGTCTAGTTGGGAGAAGACCCTGAGGTAGGTCCAGAACTCTCTAAGGCGATTGCGTATCTCATCAGGTCTGGGCATCCTCCAGTAGGAGCCGGTAGGCATTACTGGAGGGAGAAAAGTCTGGAATGCTTCTTTGCCTGCTGCCACCAAGACTGGCTGAAATGGACGTACGGGTAAAAGTTGTCGGTTTTAACGGCAAAACAAGGGCTGAAACTCAAATTTTGGGGCATAACTGTAAAGTACAGAGCCTTAAAGCACTGTCCACAACAAGTTAAATGTTTGTCGTCATTTCTTTGCAGGTGGTGACCTTTAACAGTCAGTACATGAGAGGGAAACCAAAGAAGCTAAATAGCAGTTAAAGAAACAGTCAAATGTGGCTTCAAACTGTCGCTCCATGCACCATCCAACCTGCACCAAGTGTTTCCCAAACGGAAATCTCACTTGCCTTTTTCTTGATGATGAAGCCATGCATGCTGTTGACGAGAATCTGGAGGCTCAAGATGTGACCTTCCTCTGCAAAGGGATAACGAAGCTTCAACATCGCTGGACATTAAAGGAGACTGTTAAGAATCAAAGTGAGGACAATCTTTCTCCTGTGATGTTTTCAGATGAGGCCGAGAACTTTTTGAAGCACAGTGGTATGGATGGATCCTTCATGGTTTTTCTCTACTTTATGCACATTATACATTTATCCTGACTGGTTCAGGGTCTTTGGGCTTAAACAACACCAGCTAACGCGGCTGGTTTTCAAAGAAGCAGCAGAATAACACTCTGCTGAACTTAATTATCACTTATCTCCCGTAACAAAGCATCAAACCGCTCCGCTCTTCATTAACAGGATTAAAACACTCAGATGGCCTCTGCGTGCTCCCACATTCACCACCATGAACCCCTTCAGCCCTTTATTACTCCCCAACATAGGGATGGATCCACGACTGTGGGCTTCCCTCTGGTTCCAATCTGGTGTAGGACCAAAGCGATGGCAGCAGATTGCATCGCCATGGCAACACAATTATCCTACCACGACGTGGGAGGCATGGATCATGTATGATCCACGTTTAGATAGTGTAATTATTCAACCGCCTGCGGGGAGGAACGTTTATCTGCTCCTGCTGGTAGAAGAACTGCATTCTTTCGGTGCAATATCACAAGTTTTGTCTGCTGTGAATTTAGAAGAGTTGATTCTTTTTGGTAAGTTTGTGTGTAAATTAATAGATTATCAATAAGTATTGAAATAGACAGGGGTCACCTAGTTATCAAAAAATAATAATTAAGTCAGTTAAAGAGCCATGGCAACAAAATTATGATCAGTGCCAATAATGTGTAAGTGCTGATTGAATGATAGCACACAGCAGCTCCTGTAATGAAGTACTTACACTTATAGCTGTCCATTAGTTACCTAGCAACGCACGATGTGTTAACGCCGCGGTGTCGCCGAGAGCAAACGCAAAGTGTGAGCGCCGGCTGAGATGTTTGTTCGACCACGTTATTGTCTCACAACATGGCGTAACAGCGTTATGATGCCCAGGTGAGTGGAATGGAGCGCGCTTCCTCCTGTCCCCGGAATAAAAATAACACACACACACACACACACACACACACACACGGCTAGCTCATCAATTATTTCTCAAAGGGGGGATTTTAGCTCAGCGTTGCCCTAAATCGACCCTCTCCCATGATGTGACCAGGTGTTATTTTAAGACTTTAAACATTACACAGCAAACTCAGCCAAACTGTGGCCTCCAAAAAACTGAAAATTCACTTTTAGCAACACCAACAAGCGAATAACCAGCTCGATTAGCACGACTACAAACTGCAGCTGCCTGAAAATAACTAAACAGTTAAAAAAGGAATTAGTTGGGTAAAGCTTTCTGAGTTGTTTTCGGCGAAACATTCTCATTTTGCTGCATCACGGCCAACTTTATCCAGAGAGCCGTCGGTTCAAAGGTGAGCGATTGGCTCCAGGATCATGTTTTTAGGAGATGAAAGTGAAGAAAAGCTCTCTGTATCAAAACACCTCGGTACATACGGAAAGGTCAGGGAATAGATTTTTGTGCTTTGAAATGTCATCTCATTACTTTATAACTGGCAAAGTGAAGCTATTTGAAGGAACCTGGAGGACAAAAAGGGTTTTAGCAGAGGAGCAAAAATAGCTTCGTCAGGCTTTATCAATAAAAGGCAAACGGGCAGGTTTGGTTTTCAGTCCTTGTTTTTGTTTTATCTGAGAAACATTCATACAGTAAACTGCAGACAATCAGATGCAAAACATTCGTGCTCAGCTGACAGTTTACAAAATCTGGAGGAAGACAGAAACAAGTCAGAGAAAATCTTCTTTTCCCTCAACCAGCGGCTCACGAACCCCCAACGGGTCTCACAATGATGGAGGAGCTCCAGGAACACCTGGTTAGGCCTCAGAAATACTTTAAATGATTTGAAAAGCGGGGAAAAACACTCTTTGATATTCTGGATGTAATTATTATTGTAATTAAGAGCGTAATCTGTTAGCAGATATGATTTCACTGTGAGGCCTAGAAAGGTTGTCGAGCCTGTGCTGTCAAATATAAAAAGCTTTCATTACATAACTGTAAATAACAATAATCTGATGCCTTTGAATACGACCTGAATAGTACGAAATATCTCCAGCGTTCATTTATTGTCATGCCAATGTAGTGCTGCTTGATTTTTACATTTTTTTGGAATGAAAACATTTTACAAACGTGATTATTGCATAAAGTTAATACTGGAAAAATCAAATAGTTCTGCTGAACACGTACAAAATTATTTCATAAACCAATAAGAAAACAAAAAAAGCTCACCCACAGATATCAGATATTATTATTATTATTAATAATAATAATAATAATAATAATAATAATAATAATAATAATAATAATAATAATGGCATTAATGCTTTAAGATTTCTAAACCAGAATATTGTTGAATTTAGTGGCTGTATCAGAGAAACAGTTTAGAAACTAAACCACGCTGGACAAACAGAGCGAGACGAATCATTCAAGGCGGTGGTATGAAGTGTTCATTTAAGGCTGCTGTGCAACAACATTCACTCCTGCTCGGTTCAGGTTTGGACTTTTGGTCTGACCAGAAACATCAGAACATTTTAGAGTTAGAAACGATCCAGTAGGACACTTCTCCTCTGAGAGAAAACCACAACTCACCACCGTTCTCCTGCTGAACCTGAGGTCCAGTCTATGAAATGTTCTGAATAATCAGCGTTAACGTAGAAGTAAATCTGCATGTGTGACTGCAGTAGATACAGAAAGAGAGACGATGTTTTCCACACGTTACCCAAAAGCAAGATAAATACAAGAGAAATGTGCATCAGTAAAATTAGTGAAAGACATTTTTTGTATATTTTTTACAGCATACTGTACCATTATTTAAAAAAACAAAAAGCAAACTGATTACAGACGCTGCGCTGGATTGAACTGAGTGTCTGAGCTCTTACTTTGGCATTTCAACGCTGCATGTCGGTTCTTTAAATGAGACGAGAAGCGGATCATTGAGGAGACTCTGAGCTTCTCTCCAGCTTTGGTCGGCTAAATACATCAAGACAAACTACAGTTGCTCCCAAAGAACTCGGAAAGAGGACTGAAGTGGGAATGAATCGATAACGTTGTGCTGCACCTTCCTGTCCTCCAACAGCTCACTTCAGTCTTATTCAGAAATAACAAGCAGCAGTGAATGTAGTGACCGTACTGAATGTGTTTGTCCTGTTCCTGAACTCTGACGTTCAGAGTCACATTCTCATATCATTTATCCCTCCTATCAGCTACACTACAAACATATCTAAAAAGGAAAGTGGACGAGGTGGGGTTCAGTCAGAAAGTGTAAAAAACTAACATACTCAAAGTCAGACGTCTGGAGGCGTCACCAGGATGATCGAGTGTTTTTTTTCTTGTCTGTTTGCATTGATAAAGTTCTAAAGGCCACGGTGCAACCATCACATGAATTTGGGGGAGTCTCTGCACGTCAGAGCGTTCAGTCCTTGACTATTGCTTTACTCTGTGCCTGTAGGTCACCACGTTACTGCTTGTGGTAGGTGCCCATAGAGTGTTTGACGGCCTCCTCCAGCGACTTCCTGGTCACCAGTAGCCGCACCACGTCTTCGTTCTTCTTCGTCAGCCTTTTACGAGCCTTGTCGTGAGTCACCATGGTCATGTCCCAGCCGTTCACCTGGGAGGAGGAGGAAACAGGGGTCCGGATGAGAGAAGCTGCAGCGGCTTTCAAGGCTCCTGCCTGACAGCACACGCTGCCATCTAGTGGAGCTTTGATTTAACAAAAGCAGAACGTTCATCTCACCTGCATTATTTTGTCTCCCATCATCAGGCCTGCGACGTCTGCTGGTCCTCCAGGCGTTATCCTGGTCACGTAGATGCCCTGTGGACGACACAAACACTCACTATGTCACATCATCACAGCTGTAGAGTTACACAGACCTCCTGTCTAACAAGAAGAGGACACACATATAAAATAATGAGAGACAACTAATACAGAATTAACCTCAAACGCATTTCAGGTGAAGGGACACAGCAGAATAGTCTAATAGGACTTTTTACACCTCAAGCTGTTCTTATTTTCACTTTATATTCTATTAAGTTACTAAATTCAACTGCAAAAGCAACGTAGAGACCAAATGCTGGAAGACATCCTCACCATAATATCTTAAATCTCTTTTTCTGTCAGTTTGGAAAAGCCAACAATGTGTCTGACAGGATGGAATAATGTGCAATGTTTAAATTAATATTCATTTCAACAGCTTATTATTATTATCAAACTGTATTTTGTCACCAATAACTCAGTGTCTTGATAGAATACAAGCCCCTAATCCTCATATTTATAGTCATGATAACAAAATAAAAAGGCTTTTATAATATCTGGTGCATAAACCAGCGCTAACTTCAGAACCAGGACGGCTACTTACAGTTATTTCTGTTATGTTGATGATTACTTTTAGAGATAATTTTTGTCTGTGAAGCGTCAGGACACAGTTCAAAATGTCCAACATGATTTCTAGAGTCATCAGATTACTCATTTGTTCTACCAATACTCCAGCAGTCAAAAATCTACTTTACACTGATATAAAATAAAGATTAACAGCATTAGTGAAGCTGAAACAATGACTTCTGACATTTTTCTCACATAAATTATTTAACAACTATATGTCTCATTGTCAATTCCCACAATTTTTTGGCCTTGTTAATTTTTCTTTTTATGCATTATTGCCATAAATTCTTCTTTTCATGCCATTTGATTTTAACTGGGGCTGCAAGTGGCTCAGTGGTTAGCACCGTCGCCTCACAGCTAGAAGGTCGTTGGTTGGGGTCCCGGTGAGGACACCCGGGATCTTTCTGCGTGGAGTCTCCATGTTCTCCCCGTGCAGCGTGGGTTCTCTCCGGGTTCTCCGGCTTCCTCCCACAGTCCAGAAACATGCTGAGGTTAATTGGTGATTGTAAATTGTCCGTAGGTGTGAATGTGAGTGTGCTTGGTTGTCTGTCTCTAAGTGTAGCCCTGTGATAGACTGGTTACCTGTCCAGGTGAAAATGAGCTCGTTGATTTATCTACAAACCATTCCAGCACCATGAGAGCAGACGCTTTAAGAAAACCAGACAGAAGCTCGTGGTTCTTTCAGGATCAAGCGTTCGGTGGCGTAACAGAGATCAGAACGTCTCCCGCAACTCTGTGAGAACGCTGCTGCAATACTTCTAAATATGTCAAAAGCATCTGAAGGAAAGTTTGAAATGCCAGAAGGTAAAAGCTGAGACGTGAGCCTGAAGGGAAACTATTATTCATCTGAAACGTTTCACCGCTCCAGAGTCAGCAGGTAGGACGAGGCTCTGTGCAAACCTGCAGCGTTGGTGTCTGTGACTCAGCTGATTAGTTCCGTCTTGAGGCGATAAATAATGTGTTCAGACCTGCAGCTCATAAAGCGATACCACAGTGACTCAACACGGGGATGAGATCAGGACAAGAGACGGCAAAGTAAACTGACGATGACACATGTTCTAGTTTTATCTGTTTCAGTTGTGCTCATTGACCAGGAATCGACTGACGATCAGATCCGATCGATTCTGAAAAGTTGTCTTTCAACGACACATATGCAAAATAAACAAATGCATTTTAACTACAGTAAGTTCTGTGTTAAAGTTTGAGTTATTCTAAATGTTGGGATCAATATTTTCACTTTTAATGCAAATATAGATTAGTCTCAAACATCAATAATCAATCTCATTGATTACTAATAATCAGTCTTGACCCGAAAAAAACACACATCAGTTGATTCCTAACTACATAATTTTTCCTTCTAAATACATTAAACTTGGATCATCTCACCACATAACTGAATCGTAACACAAAGTCCTGTTTTTCTCTCTAAATGAACAATAAGCTTGATTATTTTAAACACATAAACATTAAGTGTGAGTTTGACTTTTTCAGATGTGATTTGATGCTTCTGGCACGTTTGTCTCACGTCAGTAATGTAGAAACCTAAGAATACAAACTGTATCCTCACATTCCTTATAAACTCTAATAATAATAATAATAATGACATTAAACGTGGTGTAGAGCTATTTACAGTCAGAACAAAGACAGACAAATAAGCTAGAAGACAAACAAATGCTTCGTACTTTATCGGTCTTGTCCTCAGAGAAGGGGTTCTGCCCGGGATCCTGGTCGATGCCTCCTCCGATGCTGAAGCCCAGGATCAGGTTGTTTCCTTGCCGTAACTTCTGGATCTCAATTCGTTGCTATGTAACAGAAGAAAACAGAATCAGATACTGGCAGGTGTCTTTTCAGAGTAACAGCGGTTAGACAGTGTTTCTACTGATGCTGGTGATGAGAGAAGCTCCATAAAGAAATGTTTTAAACTCTTCACTTCTAATATGAATTACCAGGCCTTTAATTATTCATCTTTGTTAAAAAGCTACAAGCAAACCCACTTATAGGACAGATCGTGTTTGTGGGTGATACTGAAGTGCAGATGTTTTCATCCCGAGACAGAATTTTTCGAGATTCAAGCGCAGACAAACAGCTGGTTTCAGTCCACAGAGGGAGGTTATTAATGGAGTCCTGCCCTTCACGCTGACAAGCAGCTGCAGATTCACGACACCAGATGGACGGATGACAGCCAGAGTCCTCGGACACAAAGACGGCCTCTGTATCGGTAACAAGGACGCCTCTCAGCGCTGTGGCCGATACAGTGAAGTCTGAGGATGACTGGTTGTCTGATTAAGTGTTTGTCAGTTAGTCAGGCTGGAACGTCACTCGCTTCATGTGAAGAGAGGCTCATAAGCCTCACAGGTTGACCTTCTATTACCTAATTAGCCAAATAATCAGGTCAACAGATTTAGCTTCTTTGACAGAAGAATTAATGAACCAAAATCTGTGATAAACGTCAGGCTGGACAACGTTTTGATTTCTAATTAAAACTATTTTGCTCTTGTTTTATCATAGTTACCCTCTATAGTCTCTCACTCTTTTTCCCTAATTTCATGTTTTTTTGGTGCTTTTATTGTTTTATTTAGTGTTGTTGTGTTATTTTGGAAATCTTTCTCCACTTTGCATCTCTGGTCTTTTTTCTTTGTGTTTGACAGATAATATCTTTCGAGCGATGTTTCAGTCGGAGTCTATTTTCTGCCATTTTATGGACTAAATGATGAGAAAAAATAATAAACTGATTAATTATTAATGAGGATAATTGGGTGAATGCCATACTGACGTCAGTCCATCTCAGATCCTTTTCCATTATATTCACAGCGATGGATTAGGTTGACTCATATTTCCGTAGAAGTCATGACGGCGATCGTAGCAAGTCTGATTGAGCAACAGTTCCTTGTATCACGTCTGTGAACCACACCCAGTCAGATAAGACACGCACAGGCAGCAGGACTTTGAGTTGAGTGAAGTGATTTTGAGAATCCTTTTCTATATTTAACCACCAAGAACATCACACAGAGTCTGTCCTCTGAGGGTATTAAACGCCTGCAGCATCAACCAGCAGCATCTCAGTAATTACTTTTCTTTACAAATCATTTCCCGACGAGCTCCAACACTTTAGTGATCACATCAGACAGGTGAGCTGTCACAGGGTCAGGGTTAGGTTTGTTGTCTCCAGCTGTTTGTAGGAGTCTTTCCTCTACAGTGATTTAAAAACCTGCAGGTTTCACATGAGAGCCTCCAAAGTGACGATTGCCCAAATTTACACGTGGAGCAACAGCTGCAACTTCATTAAGTAGTAACGATTCCATGAGTAATTCTGTGAGTAAAAATGTTCTTAATTTAATCCACTATATGCTACACGATATAGGCATGATACGGGACGGATGTCTGCTCGTGTCAAACTCGTACTGTTATAAAATAACCCACAAAGAAAAATATGTATTAGTATCAAATTAAGCTAAAGTAATTTTCCGATTTTATCCGATTACTCGATTAATCGTCAGAATAATCGATAGAATGCTCGATTATTGAAATAACTGATAACTGCAACCCCATTAATTAGCTATAAATATAAATCATCCCTGACATGGAGACAGGATTTGTCTAAATCTAACAATAAATAAATAAAAACCTGTTGGTAAAGCAGTAGTTTGTCATTTGGACACTGATTAGCTTCTGTTAAGTTTACATTTAGTTTGTTTTTGCCCTTTAATGCCTCATACATGTCCTGGTTAGCTGTCTAAGTCTGTGTGAATGAGGAACAATAACATAAAGCTGGGCTCTGTCTGAATGCCAGAATGCCGTCACTTTAACGGATTACTGAGGCAGGAATGTCTCATGTCTGAACAGGGGGCTGCCCGGTTTGGAAGTCAACCTGTTTCCACATCATATAAATGACAAAACACCAGCTACATGTCCCCCGCCGTGTCTCACACTCCTCTGCATTGATTTTAAGGCTTTATTGTTGACTTCTGATGTGATAAACTGAACAAACAGCACTTTTTGTCCTGCCCTGTCAGGCTGCATGTCGGTGGACCAGGAAGGCTCCCAGCAGCGGTGACGCCCATTTTACAGACGAGCTGTGTGTCTGCACGTCCACCAGCCTTTAAATTAACAAAATAACATGCTGTTTCCTGTTAGAAAACTCCATTATCTACTGATTTAACGAGGTCATTAGTTAAATTAAACGTTGCTAACTGACCTTTTTTCTTTTTGCTAACTGTTAAGCAGCTTCCACTGTGTTGACTTTAAGCAAAACAAAGAAAGTTACAGTTAACAGCAGCTAGCTAACGTTAGCTAGTTGGTTAGTTAGCTAGTTATGGCGTTTGGTTAACTAACACAGAACTGTGAGGTTTTGATGTCGGAGCCGAACAATAGCGTCCCGGTGAACGGACGCGGGTCCAAACTTACCACCACGGCGGTGACCGGCTGACCGGGGACGAAAGACATGGTGCCGCTGAGATGTTTGAGGCTGAACAGCGAAGAAGGAAGAAAAAAAGAAGAAGAAGTTGTTTTTAAAAAGTGGAATAAAAAAATAGGTGGTTTTCGACGGTGCGGTAACTTCCCAGGTCTCTACATGAGAAGCAGCGGGCTGATCCCGAGCTGGAAACCAACGGCTTCCCGGATGACGTCACTCCGCCTCCCGGCACGTCGCTTGTGTTTGTTTCTTGTCGCCGTGGCTGCCTGCGAGGGCGGTGTTTAACGGCTGACCGCGGCCCCGCAGGCTCTGAAATAGACATGAGGTGCAAATCTAATTTTCTAAGGGACGGTTGGTTTCTCGTGGGTCGGGGGGACCCGGCTGTGTTGTTTCCATATATGGTTCTAGCAAACGGTGACCTCTGGTGATCCTCAGAGTTCAGTCATATCAGGTCGACCCATGGAGGCTGCAGACATTCTTCATGAAGGGGCCTGATGGAGCCATAGAAGATCACAGGGAGGCACATAAACACAAAAAAAACACAACTACATTTCAGGAATTCTATTATGCTGTTGTAGTATTGGGACAAGTCGAAAAGTAGGTCAATATAAGAGTTAAATCACAAACTGATATCCTGAGTATTGTTTGTTGTTGTTCTG